AGCAGGTTGTAGCAGGATAAATATCTCAAGGGACCACAAGTGCCAGCAAAACCTCCAGCATAGCCAGCAGCACAAAGCAGTCAAGCAGGTAAAATAATGACCAGGAGCTAACTATGGCTCACATATTAAGGGCTTCAGCTGGAGCTGTCAAGCAAACAGTTAACATTTGCCACGTGGGCTGTTACCCCTGCATCCTCCTTGGGTTCCAGCAGACCTCAGGCAGCTTTCACATAGCCATTACTCACTGAGGAATTCAAAATATCCAATGTCAAGCAGTAGCAGACAATATACAGCTCAGGCAGCCAGCTTTCTCCACACAATTTCCCCATGCCAGCACCCAGCAAACTTCAAACGACTCTCGAGTAGACTCATGTGCAGCATCAGGTGACCTCAGCAAGCAGGGCAAACAGCGTGCAGCCTCATGAGAAGGACAGGACCCTGGAGCTCTCGTGAAGCTTCTCATTTGGACATCCGGTACAGACCACTTCCCTGTTCTGTAGTGGGGCGAATCGATCTTACTTTTTCACCAAAGTATCTTCTGTTCCAAGTCCCCTTTCGGTCTGGGAAGCTCATAAATGCAGGATTCGTGGGATTCTCATTGGACATGGAGTGCGCCGCAAGAGGTAGAGATCGGGTGAGATTACACAACAGTTAGACCGTATCCCTGGCCATGACCACACAGATCGCCTTGCACCTGGGCTGTGAGGCTTTGAACTCCCTACTGTTTCAATGCTCTAAGTGGCGCCTGGTTACGTGTAGACGCACGTTTTACGCGTTCTCGAACAAACCAAGGCAGATGCTAGCAAGGGCATTGAGGGGCACACAGTCGAAACCCTTCGTCTCACAGTTCTAACTCGCTCCTGGACAAAAGCGTCCCTATCTAGAGACATAGCGGCGGAGTTCGCAGACTATCTTCGGCGGTCGGGTTTGCCTTCTCTTGAACCAGCGGTTGGAGATCTGTTTAAATCACCCCTTAAGTCTGGGAAGGCACCGGGTGCAGACGTGTTTACCCTTGACAATTTGAGCCCATACTTTCCCCGCACTTTGTGAAGGCCTTCAATGCCATTGTAGAAGGGATCCCTATGCCCCTGGATTCCCTCAGGGCGCACATACTGTGATCCCCAAAATCGACAAGGACCCTTCTCAGTGTGGCAGTTACCGCCCGATCGCCCTCCTCAATGTGGACCTTAAGTTGTTCGCCAAAGTCCTGGCCAATCGCATATTAACCTATTTTGGTTCTTTGGTTCACTTAAACCAGGCAGGTTTTCATCCCATCTCACAAGGCCCAAGACAATACCGTCTGTGTTCTAAGCCTCCTCGGCTGTCTTCCTGTGGCTCTAGCACACACAGCCACCTGGCTCCCCTCTGGGTGGAGGACTCCTGAACATCCCTGTTCCTCTTCCCAGCTGGAGCCCAGAACACTAGCCAGCACACTTCCCATAAGTGCAGTGCACAGGTGTGCAATTAGGTGTTGGCCACTAATAAACAATGAACCCAGGAATGGAGATTTCATCCCTCCCAATTTTCTTAGAAATCTCCCAGTTCCACGATCCCATGCCAAATCCAGAAATCCTGGGAAGAGCCACAAAGTCAGCTCTTTCCCAGTACAAGAACTTACCTCCTGGAACCGCTAAGCCCCTCTGGCTGAGAGTCCCCCAGTTCTACCGTGGGATTGCCATACAATACCACAAAATATATATATATATATATATATAT